TGAGGCTTTTATCTAAGGTGAGATCATTTTTATCTTTTAAAAACTTTGAACGAGCGATTCATGCTTTCATTATATCCCAGCTGGACTACTGTAACTCCTTATATGCTGGAGTTAGCCAGACCTGCCTGGCAAGGCTGCAGTTGGTCCAGAATGCTGCAGCTCGTCTTCTGACACGTACTAAAAGATGCAAACACATTTCCCCGGTACTTGCCTCCCTTCATTGGCTCCCTGTCCGCTTCAGAATTGATTTTAAAATTTTATTGTTGACTTACAAAGCCCTGAATGGACAGGCTCCCGGGTATTTATCTGAACTCCTGCAGACTTATACCCCCCTTAGATCTCTTAGATCAAGTGATCTTTTGCTTTTAGCTGTACCAAGGTCGAGGCTGGTTCATAGAGGTTATCGAGCATTTGCAGTCGTAGCGCCCAAGCTGTGGAATAATTTACCCCTACACATCAGACAGGCTCCCACTGTCAATCTTTTTAAATCTTATCTTAAAACGCATTTTTATTTACTGGCTTTTAATACAGCATGAGAGTTATTTGTTAATTCATATTTGGTGTTTGCTGTTAATACTCTAAGTTGTTTTATTAGGTATGTTGTATTCCTGTACAATTTTATTATGTATGTTGTATTCTTGTACAGCACTTTGGTCAACGCTCTTGTTGTAATTAAATGTGCTATATAAATAATTAAACTATTAAACTATTAAACTATTAAACATGACAGCAGGACAACTAGACACAGGAAAGTAGGGAGCTGAGCAAAGTGTGCCTTTATGAGAAAAGGGGCGTTTGCACAGACATGTCTGCTATATTGATGAGTGGAACAACACACTTACCTTAAGAGGAGACAAACTAAAGCACGACAAACTAAAGCACTGATTCTATTATGGATCCGATACTGCTGCCAGAATTATTGATACTATTGATATTTAGATAAATCCACAGATCCCTATGAAAAATATTGACAAATCACTGATTTGCATGTGAAACATCTGTCAGTATTTTTTACACACATATTTGTGCATACAAACTGTAAAGCAGCCATGAACTAAAGCAACATAATGAAGAGTAGGCTAAAGTTCCTCGACAATGTGAGAGACTGATGAAGTCATAGAGCAGGGGTGTCGAACTCCAGACCTCAAGGTGGTCTGCGGTGCCGTGCGGACGCACCTGCACAGCATCCGCAATCACGCCCACCGTGTTAAAACACGGGGACTCAGGGGTTGGTGTGGGGTTGTGGTGGTGTGATGCAAATGTTAAATAAAGATGGCTCAAAACATGGATCTGTGGTCCCGTCGTGCCTTAATTCCACCACAAGGCCCAACAATAATACCATGGAAACAGAGAAAACCCCAACAATTATATAACCTCCTATGTAAGTCATCACGTACAAACTAATTTCTTAACACCAGCAAACCGGAGAATCTTTTTCATGAATGCTTGTCATTACAGTGAGTTTCTCATCTTGACCTGACTTCAATCTCCCAAGAATACCATGACCTGGATTGCGGAGTACCTACACAGACATAGTTAAGATTAAAGGAATACTTGGCTCAACAGAGCTCCAACTCTTTGTCAGATTGGCTGCTGAGGTGAAAAGCAATCTGTGTTATCCTTGAGCAGTGACAAATAGCAAGATGTCCTAGTTTTATGGATGGCTTTTTTTTAAGAGTCACAGACTATTTTTTCAGACCAAATGAAGATCTTCTATAGAAGTGCAAGGCCATTTCCTCTCCACTCCTGTTATCTGCTTTAAGGTACGTGTTTTTGCGTTATGCCAGGGGGTCAAACATTTTTAATTTTTTTGCTTTCATTTTTAAAGAAAGTATCTAGTATTCAGGGTTGTACAGAATGTGACACTGTTAACAAGACACCGAATAAGTAAAGTTTAGGTAGCTGCTCTTTGTGTTTTGTTTTGTATTTTGTATTGTCTGTGCCTGTTCCAAGTCATCCTGGCCATGGTAGTCTTAAGAGCTTGAAAAAAAAGAAGGGGACTGGATTTCTTTAGATCTTTCATTCAATAGGCTTCTTCAGTTTTAATAACAAAAGGTGGAGAGTCTCAAGGGTTACTAAACTAACACAACCTAAAGTGGAGCAACCTGCCCTGCCCAGTGCAAAAGTTCCTCCATCCAACCTCAACATTCAGGTAAGGTGTTCACATCCCTGAGTGAAAACCACAGCATCAACCTACTAGAAGCTGACAAGGGAAGGTGTACTGTTGTTCTTAACTCAGCTGGTTATCACAACAAAATTGCCACAGTCCTCAGTGACAGTAATACTTAAAGTCTTAAAGAAAGCCTATCTGCAAACACTTGAAAGGGAAAAAGCCACTGACCACCCTACAAACTAACTTTACTTTGGGGAGCCTATACCCTGCACATATTAACTTCTGAAGAGCCACAAAGAAGGAGTCCCTGGAAGACCTATCGTTAGCAGTATAAACTCAGCCACTTACAACTTTTCCAAACACCTCATCACCATCTTCGCTCATCTGGATGAGAACACACCCCCATCACATCAAACACACTTCATTAACAAGCTCAACCAACTGTGCTGAATGAGGACGATGGCAGCTCCAACACTGACATTATCCCAAAAAAGTTTATACACTTTGTACTGTGAAATGCTTTAAAACCTGACTGAAATATTGAATGTTTATGTTTGAGAGTTAGACATTGTCTCTAATTTTAATATTACGCTTAGCGTTATCCTTTTTGATCAAGCTCATAGATAGAGCTTGATCAGATGACTGTGAGCCATTCCTTAGTAATAGTGTTATAGGATCAGGCATCTGGAAGTCCCATGATGTTCTTCGCGTGGGGAATAAAATTATCACAATAATTATAATTATTATATTATTTAAATCCTTCTGTATTATTTAGGTTTGCTCACTTACAAAGAAATTAACTTTTTCATACTAGTTTAATTTTAATGGAGAGAGATAGAATATCAACCAAAAATGTAGAAAACACATTACACAGATGTTATAAGTGGATTTGCATGTTACTGTGTTACTGTTATTTGATCAACAAGCAAAACATGACTTTACAATGTCTCGATTCAGTTTCATCTCATCACAACACAACACTCTCTCAAGCCTTCATTGAATCCTTTAAACACTCACTGGCAAACTTGCTGGGTGCTGGGCAGCTCGGGTACCTAACTCGGCTTATGCTGAGTTGGCCAGCCTCTGTCAGAGTGGTCTGCCCACCATTGCTTCTGGTTCTCTTGCTCTTTGGCCATGAGGGCCCCATGTGGGTTGTCCCTTCTTCTCCTCCTGGGATGTGCATGCAGTTGTCATCGAGATGTGTGGCCTTGGGTCTTCAGTACTATGGGGGCTGCACCTGGGTGCACCTGGGTCTCTGTCTGCCTCTGTATTCTGGGAGGTGTGGATGCAGCTTCTCACCCTCATTACCAAGTATATTTGTTGACAGACACACACATTCAGAACACAACAAGATTGTTTGTTTGTGCATCTATGTTTTTTTTTTTCTTTTATTTCCTTTCAGGCGCTGTTTGTTTTCTGTATGTGTTTTTTCTTACAGGTGCAGCAGTTTATCAACTTGTGCTCTGTCATTTAAAGGTCAGTGTTTCACAGAGATTTCCTTCCCAGTGTTGCTCAAAGGGAGTCATAATTGTTGGGGTTTCTCTCTGTATTATTGTAGGGTCTTTATCGTACAATATACAATATTGATATTGATGCGACTGTTGCTGTGGTTTGGGACTACATCAATAAATTTGAATTGAATGTAATCTGGGTGCCACATGGGCACAGTGTCAATCCCATGGGAGCATGAGTTCTGGCTGAGTTGTAGGGGATAAAATACGTATTGGTTTTTTTTATGTATAGTTTATATTCTGTCTCTCTGCAAGAAAATGAAAATACCATAACAATTACAGACTGTTCATTTTATTGGCAAGTGAGCAAACTTATAAAGTCCCCCTGCAGTGGACTAGGCCAACCCTGTCTTATCTCAGGCTAGACTATTTTCTCTTATAAAAGTGGTTTCTCTCCTACATTGACTTTAACTGTTTTTTCTCTTTAAAATAAATTTTTGATGAGAAATACTGGGTATTTATGTAATTGATCTTGTCAACCTTTAGATGAATAAAATATTTCTTATCCTTACTGTACTTACAAATAGGGAAACAAGAAATTGAAGTTGTGGGACTGGAAAGTATTTGTCTGACCAAACATATCGTACTTAATGATTGCAGCAAAAGGAATGTCAGTTAAATTAAAGATATATAATAATAACAGTAATAATAACAACAACAGGGATAGAGAAAATGAGACTGTGTATATGGCCGTTGATGCCAGATAAGAATAAAGGCCAGAGAAGCTGATTAAATTCTGTCTCGTCTACCAACATATTTGCAGCTTTAATCTTTCTCGGTATAGTGAAAGCTGTAGAGCTCCATCCAAACAGCACCTCGGAGATTTCCTCTAGACTGCTCCCTTAAATGAGGTTAAAATACGCATAGCCGGCTTTTTTTTTTTTTTTTTTTTGTAAATTAATGATGGCGCTTTGTCGTCCCTTCGCTCACAGCTCGGCTCCGTTCAAGCGTTTAGATTCAGATAAGAGTCGAATTCCAGCTTACCTTCGACAGCCCACACCGACGGCAGCATCCATAGAAAGTACAAGATATCCATAATCACAGATATTCCAGACTTATGCCTGTTAAAAGCCAGCGTATTCATCGCGCAGCCGTACAGCTGTGGTCGGTTTCCTGTGAAATCATTTAGAGATTGAGAGAAGCATCCTTATCATCATCAGTGGCACCAAGATAAAGGCTGAAGCGCTGCTGTTCAGGCCAGGTTGGGCGAAACCAAAAAAGAGGGGGCAGAAAAGCAGCGGAAAAACACAGAACATCGGCTGCGCCTGACTGGACACAAGGGTTTGGGTTTTTTGTTTCTTTTTTAAAACAAGGCCACCAGGGTTAATTGTGAATAGGCATTAATATGCATTTCCGTCGGAGGAAAGTGCTTTTACTCAAATTTATTATTACACTTGCCTATTTTAATTTTTAACCTAAATTATTAGATGTTATATTTGCCAGTGAAGACGCTTTGAAAGACCTTTCTTTACCATTCAGTGTCAGCACAATCTTTGTACCTAAGCCAATTTTTATTACGTCACTTAACACTAACCTACACATAACTCAAGGAATGAAGCCAGTGTTTTTAGCAAAGTAGCAATTACCAACCCCATCCCAAAAACACTGCACTCCTGCGCTAATTTGCAGATCTGATATTTTATTCACTACAGAACACCAAAAAAGTTTTAAACTGAGGAAATGAATATAGCATCCAATCTGATTTTCAGCCTTGTTTCATTGTAGATATTTAGACTTCTTTTTTAATGATATTGTGTATTGCAGATTGATTGATTGATTGATTGATTGATAATATTTTATTAATCCCGAGATGATGAGAAACTCAAAGTCTTTGTACAATTGTACACTGAGGAATGTTATTCAGAAATAATTTCACAGCAACTTTAACGAGCAAATAAAATTGGCGATCATGTTATTGTAGGATATTGTTGTGGGCCCACTTATTAATTGTCGTTGTCAGACCTAGCTCTACTCCAGTACTGTTTTTTTCTTTCTAGTTTGCTGTTTGTCATTTCTCTTCAACCTTCTTTTCTTTCCTTTCTTGGCCCTAACCCCCAAGATGGCTGTTTCTCCCTGACCCTGTGTCTACCTGGAGGTTTCTTAATGTTAAAATGAGTTCCTCCTTCCTAGGACTGTTAAGTCATTGTTAGCTTGTTGCATTCTAAAATATCTGTCACCAGTTCACAACTGTGATGTGAACTGGTGATATAAAACCTGAACTGAAATGAACTGGATTCAAAGACAAGAGGCTGTTGTACCAACACTTTAACCCTCTCAAGGCAGGCGTTGCAGATTTGCAACATTAAAAGCTAACAACCTGATTACCCCACATACATATTTTATGAGTTTTTTTTACTCGGAAGTACCACTGCAGGTATTCTTTTGTGCATAAGCAACAAAAACTTAATTTGAGCCTGAGAGGGTTAATGCTTTTGATGCTAATGCTTTATTAGTTTTATAAATCCATTAAATGTTATGGATGCAATCTTTGGCCTTTCTACATGGCACTGGAAACATAATGTTTAAACATTTAGTCTTTTCACCCTACATGTGATATATTTCAGACATGTTATTTGGACTGGATTAGTATAATTAAAACAAAGTAAAGTAAAAAACACAACTAACCTGTGATATGAGGACATGTTTTATTTGGTCCTTTTGTCATTGAGAACCCAATAATAGCTTTGTTGCAAGCTGCACTGCTATCATGTCCATAGAGATTCCACAGCCGACCTGTCTGAGACATTCCCTAAGATAAGACTGCAGTGGATGAAAGAGACTAAGGGAGAGGGAAAAACAGAGAGTGAGAAAGGGATAGCGCTGCCAGTAAAGCAAGAGAGAAAAAGAGATACAGCTCAGTGAGGAAATAGAGCAGAAGAATATGGGCATGACAAAAAGGAATCCAGCCTGCCTCCAGATGAGTGAGAGCTGCAAAACAACAGATTAGAGGAGCCTACGGCTTGTTCCTATGGAAACCTATGCCCAGGGAGACAGCAATGAGAATGCAGCAGATTGTAGGTCAGACACACCATCAGCGATCCAATCAGAAATAATCTATCTTGACTTATGGGTCAGTAAAGCTGGTGCCTTTCTTTGGCTGCTCTCACTGTTGGGGTCCCAGCGAGCAGAGCAGTGCAGAAAGTGGTGGATCATTTTTAAAAACAAAGCAACAAAAACTAAAACCTCTATGGCTCATGAGGTAGGGTGGCATTATAGGAAGCCCATTCCTGAAAGACTTTCAAATAATAAGAAATAACAGAGTGGAATAATTTGCAAACAATTTAATTAATTTCAATTTAGTTGAATTACCAAAAGCCAATTCACAACAGCAGCTGTTTCAAGGTGTTTTTACTGTAAGGTAAACTCCAAAAGTCACAAGATCCCCTACAAGCAAGTACGGGGTGATGGCTGGAAGGAAGATCTCCCTTGATCCAGAACCAGAACCCTCAAACATTTTTTGGAACTTTATGGCAGCAAGACCTCTCAAGAAAGTTTGGACAGAAGAAACAAAAGGCTGGAAAAGTACATGGTACTAAAAAGAAACAGCTGGAGAATCTTAGGGACAAATTAGATTAATTGACAACAGTAAAAGAAGAGCATCTCGGAAAGGTGTAGCTTCTATGT